TAAGGGATAAGGGTTGTTGTGTGAGGGTGGGGGCGAGAGAAGGTTGGACCCATGTTGATACGCAGTTGTGTCGACAGAAGATCTCTGCAAATTGGTGCGGCGAAATACTGGTGGTGTACAGCTGTCCAAAAGCAGTCTGTTGCCCGGATTATTTATTGCTTCCCAATTAATAAAAGGAAAAAGAAAAAATAAATTGCGAACAAGACTTCCACTAGTATCTTTGGTGGGTGTTGTCGATACAGGATAGTGTTGGGAAGGAAGAATCACGTTTTTGTGTTCACGTCAGGGTGAAACTGTGCAAAAGGAATAGAGAGATAAATTTGTTGTGTGGCAGTATGGTATGTGGGGAGGGTGTGTGCTGTTCGAGATGTAATACAGCACTCATTTGACTCATTTGCTCTTCCGATCAGCTGAGCCATTTTGTCATCGTCTTCCAGATTTTTGAAGAGTAAAGGAAGAAAATAATAGGTGTGTATAGTGAGTAAGAATGTGGTCTTACTATTGCTTGGTAGGTAGGTGGGTCTTTAAGAAGGTTTGGAGAGATAAGAGCCTGTAATGTACTGAGTGAGAGGTGCTACGGGGTGTAGCGCGCTGTGTGACTGTGGTGCTCGTTCTCATTGGAAATGATGGTTGGTGCTTTGTCTGGTGTGTAGGTCTGCAGGGTATAAGGTGCTAAGAGAAGGCGTAGTAGCTATAGTCTTGGTGGATTTGATTAGGTTTATGGGTCGGGTTTGGGGTTGGCGTTGGGTGTTGACTCTGGATGGGCTGAGTGTTGGTAAAGTTGCGTGGGGCCTTGGTGTTGACAAGATAACTGCCTGGAGGGGGGGTGGGGGTGTGTGTATGGTGGTGGTTGCGTGAGGAAGAAGCCGGGCTGGGGGTTGTGGCAGTTAGGAATGGGGTGGCGGTGGGTTTCTGTTGAAAGTATAAGATGCAGCAGATTTGTGGTGATAGCTGTTGTTGGGTGTGAAAGTAGGTACTGTTGTGTGGAGAATTAAGGAGATATAAGAACAGTTCTGAGATAGGTTGGGGGGTGCTTGTTCAATGTATAAGTGGGAGACTGTAGGTGTCTGCCGGTGGGTTTGCTTGTTGGAAGAAGAAAATATTGCAGTTTTCGCAAAGCTGGTTGCTAAAGAGGCTGCTGTTGATCTAGCTGTATTTCCGTTTTGATTTTCAGTCTTATGTTCTCACAGCTAGCTGGGTGGTCCAAGAATGCGATGCCTTTGTGTGTTTTTTGTATAGGATTTTAGCCCAAGCTACCTAGAAAGCCTGCTGACAGGGGTCTTTTTTGTGGTTGGTTCAGTGGGTGTTTTTGTTTTTTTTTAGAGTGCACGCGTCAACTGTGTGCCAAACCCAGGTGGTTGGCGCTGGTTCCGTCAGGGTAGTCTTGTTAGATAATACTCGTTGGTGTGCGGCAGATTTTGGTAGGGTTGACGTGGAAGTCCGGTGACGGGTCATAAAGTTGTTAAGGGGGACAGATATGTTGGCAGTGGCGGATGGGTGCGCCTGCGTCTCAGTTGGTTAGTAGGTTGGGGGGTCAGTCAAGTTTGCTCGGAGTCCCAAGGCCAATAAGGCGACAGTCCAATCCAACGATTAGTGTTTTGTAGTTAAAGGAAGCACTTGAATGGAAGGTGAATGGATTGAAAACGGGTCTGAGTTGTTTAACGATAAGAGCACAAGAAGTGAAAGGGTAAGTTGATAATGAGTGAACCGGTGTATGTGCGTGTTTGTGACTTTTTAGTGTTAAAAGTTTGGGTGTGTGTCGTGTAGGGTAAGACAGTGATTCGTGGGGGCTTGGGTTTTGTTAGAGACTCCATTTTTAAGTTTTGCAAGGCTAGGATGTTCGAGGTTTGTTGAGAGGGAAGTTTCAGAAATGTTAGGGTGACCGTTCGGTCATGGTGTTTCGTGTATGAAGGGTTGGCGATAGTCTGAGTGGGTGTTAAAAATTGTTATCTTTATGGATTTGTGTACTTTTGGTTGTATAGATGTATTGTCAAATCTCTGAGATTGCTATTGAAGATTGATGGGGTTGTTTTGTTGTTGGGTTGTTTCTCAGGTTTTTCGGATGGTTGTTGCTGGGGTGCATAATTGTTGGTTTAGCGACGGATGAAGCGAAGTCGCTAGGTGATCGTATGGTAGACGGTCGATCATGTGGACAGCGGCTTATCGGGTCGTGTGTCAATGATGTAATGATTTGAAAAGGAGTGTTGGGTGGTGTACGTGTTGGTGTGGTGCTTCTTTTTCTATGTGGGACGAAAGCGCTGTTTGCGTATTGTGGCGGGTGGTTGGGTTTTCGCCGTGCACTGGGTTTTGAGTGGCCCGGTGGAGAGGCTTTACGTGGCCCTTAGAGGTTTAGTCTGCTTTAGGATTGCCGGTTTGGTCTGCCTATGTGTTTGGACAGGCGTCAATGAATGTAAAGTGTACTGTAGGTTGGGTTCGGAAAGTCGCGGTGAATAGTGGCTAAATGTGTTGTATTGGCTGGATCTTTGTTGAGAGAGAATATAGGAAAGAAAGTGAGTTTGGTCACTATAACTTATAGCTCATTTGTAAATGCTAACTCAAAACCTTCGCCGATCCCAAGCTGCCTTTTCTGTGGTGTCTTCTTCTAGCTTTTCCTCGATTGCTGTCTCCGAAAAATGGATGTCATAGATGTCCGAGTGTCGCCCACGGCCAACCTCGTGGTTTGTGTGGGAGAGGCGCTCAGTTGCACTTCTCATAAGTACTGAGCCAAAATTGATGTGGTCAAAGGTAGGGTATGTTGGAGGACGGTGGCCATTGCACTAGAAAAATTGTGGATAACTCTCAATTTAGGGGATTGTTGTTGCTTACTGAGAGACAAGTAGGTGTATGCTAGGTAAGGGCTTAAGTCCGTAATTGGGCGGGCGCAAAGTGAGGGACTAGATCGAATGGTGCTTGTCAGCATGGCGTGTATTGGCATTGGTGGTGGGCCTCGTGTGCGCTTGCTTGGGTCCAATTGTAGGTGGGCCAGTAGAGTTGGTGGAATGGCGGTAGGGAGTTCCGGCGTAGAAAATAATCATGGCACGGTTGCCGACAAAAGTGCTTGGTGCTTTAACTATCGTTCTAAAATGGGCGCTGCGATGCGTTCGAGAGGATGGAGTGAGTGTTGAGCGCTAACAAACCATGAAGGCGAGTTCGGATCTCCATGAGAAGTATTGTCCTTGCGGGAATCGTGGAACAGAATGATCTTTCAGAGGAAGGGCGTGCGTGTGGTGATTGATTGATAAAGCTGGAGCCTGGAGTCTAGTGTGCTTTGCGTTTGTTCTCTCATATAGGTTTTGATTCCTTTAGGGGTTTTTGAACCATGAGTGTGTTGTATGAGACCCCCTGTGGTGAGATTCCCGATGCAAGTAGAGAAAGCGGAGTGGGGAGCAAAGTGTCGCGTAAAATGGCGAAAGACATGTTGGGAAGACAGTTAGTATTGAAGAAGATAGTGACGTGGAGGAGAAGCCATGGAGTGGATGATATGTCTTTTGTAATTAATTATGAGGGTTGCGAGCTAATTGCGCATTAGAAGTTATTTGTGGGTTAAGTAGATATGTTGTGGTAAGGCGATTATTAAGGTGGTTATGTGCTACGATTGTGGTGGTTAAATTTAATTTTTGAGTAATCGTGAGTGTGAGGGTGGACTTGTCTTATGTTTGAATTAGTCCGATAATTTGGTATTTTTCATGGTTTGTTGATTTTAAGTGGAGTTTTGTAACGAAAAAATGTGCGCTGTCGGGTATTATGTCTGTTCATGGTGTGAACGGAATAAAGACTTACATGTTGTTTATCCTAGATAGGTGTTAGAGGGTTCAACGCTGGTTAGCGTTGTTATTGTTGATGGTGTTAGTGCCGTTTAGTTATGAGTTTTAATCCTTTATACGTTAAAACGTCAAAGTGTTGTGGTTTAGAATGCTATGTTTTTCATTGGATATTTTCTTTGTATGGGGGGGTAAGAGGTGGTAGAGACGTGAAGGAAGTTGTTGTCTAGAAAATGAGATTGTGGTGGTGCGTAGAGGAACTGGCGAGAACTTCAGTAAGAAATGGCATTCATATCAGTTAGTGTTGTGTCCAGTGTCTCTCCGCGTTGTGTGGTTCATCGTTTGCCGAATGTGGTTGAGGTCGTGTATTGATGCTTTAGCGTTTTTTGGGGTTCTGATAATGCGAATTTGTTGAGGTGCGTCAATGTGGGATCAATCATTTGTCCCTCTGAGAAGGTATTTGTTGTAAGAATATGGTTAGGAGAGAGCCAGGTGAGTGTGTGTCCGTGGGATTCTTGTTGTATTAGATGTGGTCTTACTCGGTGTGTGGTTGGTGGCGGGGTGTGTCACTTAATGCTAAACGAGTTGGGTGATTTTTGTGTCAGGGAACAGGGTTTCCTCTTACAGTTGGCATCAGCGTCACGGTTATATGGGTGTAGGGGTTGAAATGCTTGTTGAAGCCTGAAGATGCTTTAGTGATGACAAGTCGTTATGTCCTCGATGCCTGATAGTGGAATCTATGGTGTGAATTTTTGTCTAATTGGTAATAATACAATATTTATACCAAATTATACATTTTTGATACAATAATGGTATCATTACCAAGGGTATACAGTACCAAACCCGTATGATTATTAGTAGTTAAAAAAAATTCTCAGTGACCTAATTGATTTATTGACACTTCATAAATTTACAAACACACAACAAATAACGTAAGCGGGTCTCATATCAAAAAGATGCATTTCTTTCATTTGTAATTTCAATCAGATATCAATACTATAGAAAGAAGTTGTTCATTTTATATCTAAACAATTAACGAATAATAAATATATAAATTTATGCGTCAATTAATATTGAATAAAGTATTTTCAGCGTGCAAATATTATACATGAAACTATTTACGGTTTAAATCTTTATTTAAAAATTATCGGGAAAAAAAAACATTTCAATGGAACATTTCCAAATGTAGTATTAATATCCAAATGCATTAAACGGAGGGTTCAAATTTATCAGCTGTGTCAGGAAATGGAGGTCACGGTTCTTCTGAGCCCAATACGTGCTTCAGCTTCTCTCAACCCAAATCGAGCCTTAGCACGCAAGGTCGGTCTCTCTCTCTCTCTCTCTCATGAACATTTTACTGTATTTGCAGAATTGGGACTTGTATTTTTTAATCAAATTTCGATTCAACAAATGCCCGTAATTTGTTTTAGCAGGTTTATGAATTTTATGAATTTCTTGATCTAGTGTTTGATTATCCGAAGAAAATACTGTCACTTTTGTGCAAAGAGTGTACATATTAGTGTCTTGGAACTCCTTAATTACCCATCATTTGTGTAAAATGAGTTGAAGATTATGATATTGCTTTAGATTTCTTCAAGGATATCCCTTTATATGGGCTGTGCTTACAACAGATAATCCGGAAATGGAAGCGGGATGAGTGTTTTAATGGCCAAGCTACTTATGTAGATTGCGTGCGGATAATTCGGAGTTTAAGTAGGCAAAAGTTGCCTCATGTAGCTCAGGAGCTTTTACTCGAAATGAAATCAGATGGTCTTTTGCCCAGCAACTCCACTCTATCTGCTTTGATGCTGTGCCATGCCAACAATGGCCTTTTTCCTCAAGCGGAAGAAGTGTGGAACGAACTGTTACATACTTCTTTTGTGCCTAGTACTCAAGTTGTTTCGCAGTTATTTGATGTTTATGGAAATGCGGGATGTTTTGAAAAAGTGAATGAAATTTTGGGCCAGCTGAGGGCTAGGAGGTATTTGAGTTTGTTTCCGGAGGTTTACTCGCTAGCTATCGCTTGTTTTGGGAAGGGAGGCCAGCTTGAATTGATGGAAGGTGCATTGAAAGAAATGATTTCAATGGGGTTCCCGGTGGACTCTGCCACTGGAAATGCCTTTATCAGATACTATAGCATTTTTGGTTCCCTGACTGAGATGGAGACCGCTTATGGCCACCTTAAAAGGTCTAGGTTTCTGATAGAGGAAGAGGGAATCCGGGCAATGTCATTTGCGTATCTGAAGCGCAGGAAGTTTTACGGATTAGCTGAGTTCCTGAAGGATGTAGGTCTAGGTAGAAGAAACTTGGGAAATCTTCTGTGGAACCTTTTGTTGTTATCCTATGCCGTGAATTTTAAGATGAAAAGCTTACAAAGAGAATTTTTGAGAATGGTGGAAGCTGGTTTCCACCCCGATCTTACTACATTTAATATCCGTGCTCTGGCCTTTTCAAAGATGTCTCTACTGTGGGATCTCCATCTTAGCCTTGAACACATGAAACATGAGAAAGTTGTTCCCGATCTTGTGACTTGCGGCTGTGTTGTTGATGCATACTTGGATAGAAGACTAGGACGGAATTTGTATTTTGCCCTCAATAAAATGAATTTGGATGATTCCCCATTGGTATTAACGGATCCATTTGTGTTTGAAGTTTTGGGAAAAGGAGACTTTCATGCAAGCTCAGAGGCATTTTTGGAGTTCCAGAGGCAAAGGGAATGGACTTATAGGAAGTTAATTTCAGTATATATGAAAAAAACATACCGGAGGAATCAGATCTTTTGGAATTACTGACTAGCGACCTGCATATTGTGCATGTTTGACTGATCATTAGGAAAGGATTATTGTCGCTGATAATACTATGTCTATCAGTTCCAGTTTGCATTCTATTGGTTCAATTAGTGCATGTATGTAACAAAGTGATAAATGCAGCTCAGATATGCCTCGTCCTGCATTGTGCAATCGGTACGTATCTGGACTTTCTTATTATGTTCATTTTAGGTAAGCACAAAATGCATTCCTAATCTCATGGATCTTGTGTGGATCTCCATGTTCAGGCTGAGATGAAGTTGGATATTGCTGATGGATGACTTACCATTGTTATGAACTTATCAAAAGCTAAAATGAAGATGCTACATTCATTCAGACTCAAAGAAAACTCCGAGGAGTGTGAAATAAAGGTAAGAGCAGTCCAACTACTATTCCTTCTGAATCTCGCATGCTTAAACTGATCTGCAGTCAAAACTAATTTTCTCAAGTCTGTTTCGTTTGCTGTTTACTGCAGTTTCCCTTCTATGCTTCATAAACCTGCTATGAAACCTTAATATCACAAATTGATTTTTTCTTTATAGTTTCATTGGCTTGAAAAGTACCTTCTTAAATTAACAGATGAAACTGTTAGCTTTTCTACTTTCACAAGAAGCCTAAATTGTTGGGAAGTTGATGATATGTACATATAAATAATTTCCTCAGTATAATTTCTGGCAAAAACATCCTGTTGTTGTGGAGCCTTAAGACTATTTAAACATCAACTCGACATTAATACGTGTGAGCATAATATCCTGCTGGGGTGTCTCGTACTAATTAGTTGGCAATGCTGCTATCCCGACCAGGTACTTGAATTGTTGTCCTGCAAGGTATAGAACAGCTAAGGGTATGAACTATGAATACATCTGTACTTTGTCCCTTCGTAATGAAAGAGAAAGCTCCTAGTTGTTATAAATATACAACAACAACAACAAAGCCTTTTCCCACTAAGTGGGGTCGGCCTATGAATCCTTGAACACCATTGCGCTCGGTTTTGTGTCATGTCCTCCGTTAGATCCAAGTACTCTAAGTCTTTTCTTAGGGTCTCTTCCAAAGTTTTCCTAGGTCTTCCTCAACCCCTTCGGCCCTGAACCTCTGCCCCGTAGTCACGAACCGGAGCGTTAGTAGGCCTTCTTTGCACATGTCCAAACCACCGGAACCGATTTTCTCTCATCTTTCCTTCAATTTCGGCTACTCCTACTTTACCTTGGATATCCTCATTCCCAATCTTATCCTTTCTTGTGTGCCCACACATCCCACGAAGCATCCTCATCTCCGCTACACCCATTTTGTGTACGTGTTGATGCTTCACCGCCCAACATTCTATAAATATATGTGGTACAAAATGAAGTAATTAATCTTCATACCGTAATAGTTTAAGCTTTTGAGAATAGTGGTAGTCCAGCAAATATGTGGTATCAGAGCATGATATTGTAAGTATGAACCTTGCAAAAAATTTAACGGCATGCCCTTCCAAAGAATGCCACTTATGTATTTAGGAAAGTGCTATCAGCATTTATGTCTCGACTCTCGAGTGCGGAATGCCTTTGCCAGAGGAGATTTTATGTTTTTAAGAAAAAGGGAGTTTAATGATAAATCTTCAATGGACAGTAAAACAGTACAACATATGTAGACAGAAAGAAAACCTCAAAGACAAGTGAAAACAAGCTCCACAAGCGCATCACACAGTATCATCTGGGTTTTCTAAACATACATTCGGGATTTCCCAGTTTACACAACTACGCAGACTTAAACAACTCTTTTGCAGTCCCTACCAGAAATTATTAGAGAAAACAGAGATGGACTTGCAAAGGTTACAGGGAGGCGGGCTGAGCAATATTACGAGAAGAATTCAATTTTGCTACACCTTTTAAACATTTCTAATCCGAAAGATAAGATGATGTGCTTGAGCGGCTCCTTGAGCTTTCATAACCAGGCTGTGATAGATAGCCGTCACTGATTACATCCTGAAAAAAGAAAAGACCAAAAAATTAGCAAATAAGTTAGTGTTGATTATATATATGCGAAAGTAAAAGAGAACCAACAATTGTGAAGCATTCACAGGTTATAATCTCTGTTCCTCTTCCAATTTCCACCCGTGGAGTTCGGTTGCCTGTGATGATATATTATTAGAATTTATGCTTAAATAGTTGTTCTAAACCCAAGGTTTTATTTATTTATTAAAAGATGGCATAATGAGTGTCAAATGAAGGACAATGTTGGGATAATTAAAAACAAGTGAGGGCATAATTGGTAAATAAAATCCATTCCGGATTCCTCAAGTCACAAGGAATTGAAATGCCTCCCTGGGAGTCAAATTCCTCCAAAATTAGGAGTTGGATTCCTTAATGCATGTGGACCCCACATGTATTTTGATTCTCCAAGATTATGTAAACAAAGGTGTATGCCGTAATCGGAATTTAATTTCGTAAATTAATTTCAATTACGGATACGTAAACGTGTCATACATAAAATCCTCCTAGTAAAAGTTCTTAGAATAAGACTAGGAAACTGAATAAATTGAAATAAATTAGGAAACATAATCCTAAATTGACTTTGATAAATTTGCCTAGAAATCTGTACAGCCACGTTTTGGACCCTAATCAGCTCCAAAACTGGCCCAAATAACTGGATTTAAAGCTTGGATTATCCTGAACACTTCTCCAGAAGGCCACGAACCCATTTGCAATCATCTCGGGCTCCAAGAACGCAATTTAAGCTTAGAAACGTCATTTTCCAGTAACGTGCACTGCTTCTTTAATAAATCGGCAGAAAATAACTGCTTGGTAGAAAAATCCCAAATTTTGACACGAACAAGCTAAGGAACACACAAACGTCCTCCAATCACTCCATAATTCGTCCGTTTGATCATGTTTTTCTCCACAAATCAACTACATCTACCTACAATTTGTCATAACTAAAAATATTTAGTCATCAGGAACTAGCTTCTTAATTGCATAGTGTATATATAGGTATATATGTTGATCACCGGATTAAAAAATAAATAAGGGGTAAGGTTTATGTCGTGTAGTCATTTATAACCAGAGGTTTCTTAAAAAGAAAAAGTTAAGAATTAAATGAACCCTACTCGTTTGCGCGTACAGTAGCAACGAAATGGAAGTAAGAAATCTGTATTTGGAGCATCGTGAGCTTGCCCTTCATTTGATGGGGTGTTCTCGATAAGCGCCACCAAAAATCAAACAAAATGTGTTAATTACTCACGGAAGAGTAGTGCTACTTGTGCCATCTCAACACGCACAAAACTTGTGTGTGTTCACATAGATGAGTCCCACCTTTGTTAGAAATGCGATAATTAACACAATATTGATTGATGAACAAAACTAATTATCGGGCAATATATGGCACGTATTTATGAAAGATATAGATGAGAGATGATTCTGTTACAATGAAGAAGTTGAAGAACGATATATAAGAAAAAAAGGGCAGTTCAGAGTCTCCCTTATGGCATTTGGGGCATTCTTTTTTAATGTGCTGCAAAAGAACAAACACAAAAAAAGGAAATTTCAATCGAGTACTATAGCTCATTTAGGACAAGACCTGTGCAGAAGATGCAGTATGAAAATACAAAAACAAAGAATGGCAGTGTTCCAGAGAGGAGCAAGAAGGGATGGACGGTACTTGTTCGACGCAGCTATTTATACGAGAATTTTGAGCCACAGATTAAAAACACACACAATTAAACAAACTAGAGATCTTGAATTGAGTGGCTACACATAGCATTTGACTCCCTTGACACCAGAAACTTACGAGATGACTACGTTCAACCTCCGATCCTACCGGTGACATTGACTCAGGTAAATGGTAGCTTAGGCCGACGGCAATCTCACAAGACAGAACGAACCCTAAACTTCTGGCAAAACCATGAGCGTTCCGTCCAAGTTGCTAAGTAGAACAGAATCAAACCATTGAAGGGTTTTAGGTTCTTGAAAATAAGCCCCTCACAACTGCAACTGAAGTCAAAAACACTTGAGCGCGCGACTGTTATTGCACTATAAGTGACGGGTCTCTTCTGTACTATAATTCCTTAAAGTTTTTTTTTACTACAAATATCAGTAGTCGGGGACTAAACTAAGTATAAAGTTTTCACAAATGTATCTACTAGAAACAGTTCAACCACAAACTCAGAAAGGTAGTTCATTTCGTATTTTCATCGCTTGTTGCACGTAAACATTTAAACACGGAAATGGAATCTCCATTGTGTTGGAAATTTTGAATAGAAATTTCATTGTCGCGCATTGATCATTCTTATAAGGTTTCCTCAGTTTATAAGGCTTTGTGCCTTATAGAAAGTGATTAGAGTGATAGGCATTGGAGAATAAAATTGGGCTCACCCTTGAGGTTGAGCTTTGAGGTGCACTAATTAATATATAATTAATTATCTAAAGATGAGCCTTCGGCTCGGGCTCTAATAATTAAATTAATTATTTTCGGATTTAATTAATTAATTTTTAATTAATTTCCAATTTAATTAATTACTTAATTTTTTATCAACAGACTCATGTTTTCAGCTGAAGTCTGTTGAGATGAAAGAATGCAAAGCAAAGCACCCCTCTGTGAAAGATGACTTCCAACAGACTCACTCCATTTTCATACCTGTTGCAAATAGGTATAAACCTATTATATATACATTCATCTGCATAGCATTTAGAATACAGAAAAATATCAAATTCTTCTTCTACATTCCTAAACCTTCTCACTGAGAGAACCACACAAAATTCGCCAGAAGTTAAGTTTTCCGATGCTAGAATTCTAACTTGATCCATAAGGTTGATGGTGTACTCTCTGGCGACGCACTCTTCTGTTCTGACTAGGCTCCTCTTCCTCTTCTTCGCCATGGCTGACGTCTGAAGCTCTGCACTGAAACCCCAAAACCCTAAAATGATGACGAAAAAATTCAAACCCTAGGCGAAACCTTATATATAGAAAAGCCCAAAAGCTTATTAGGTTTTCATACTAAGAAGGGCCCATTTAGAAAATTCGGCCTATTTTTTCTTGTTTACTATAGTGTTCCAAGAAAAAAGCCAAGGTCACTACGTCACGTTTGTCCCACGCGTGCTAGAGAAAATAGACAGTTCGGACTGCTGAGAGTCAAATTTGTAAGTAAAGTAGAATTTTCGAAACACTAACCAAACATTAAGTCGTATGTGAACTATAATTTAGTGCCGCATATTGCGCTTTATCGTAATGACGAAAAACAATCATACTTATGTACCCTCGTGTGGGTTCAATTCCCCTTCCTCCTAAAAATAATCATTTATCCTACTAACACAATTTTTAGTAAAAGAAAATTACAATGTAGTCCCTTTTTATTGCTTGTATAGTACTCTACTGATTTTGTGTTTTGATTAGAAATGTTGTAATCAATTCTATTTGTACATAATGACATGGACAAGATTTTTTGTGTTATTTCGATTTTTGTGATTTTTTTTTTTTGTGTTCTTATATATATGATATATTTTGTCTCGTGTCCTTATAAATCGAATTTAGAAATTTATCTATTGCTGTAGCTAATTGACTGAACGACCTCTGTTTTAAATTGATTTTTGTAGACATGATCTTTACGAAATGATTTATAATATAAACGGTTTTAATCATAAACACGAAGTTATGTGAATCGATCACAAAGTAGCTTGAGGAGGAAATCCTACTTCAATCATAAGGAGCCAAGCTTTCCTCATTACATATTTCAAACCCTGAATACTCTTCACGAACAAGAGTACACTGCAGTATCTAAGCTACAGTGATTATTTCTTAATGGCATGGATACAAATGGCAAGAACCCTAATCAATTAGAAAGCTGAGAATATACAAGATAATTACTAGAATAAATAACTGTTTTTACCCAACTTCTAAGCCCTGTGATCCCTAATAAGATTCCTGAATGAGTAAATTCATCCCGCCCTATGTGCAGAAGCGATGAATAATTTGAAGCAACCAGTGCCATCCCGAGAAAAACCATCACAAATAGTTTGTCTGTCGCATAGTTCAGCTCTGGCTTCAACAATCCAAACCCTACTTATCAGGTCGAAATGTTGAGATAAGCGGAATAAGATTCATCCTTGAAGGTCGACAATGGCGCTAGAAGAAAGTTCCTTGGTGTCCCTTTAGCAACAAAGCTGATAGGATGATACTGATTTATTCCATTGTTCATCACAAAGCTGGCTGCCTGATTGAATTCGGCGCCCGATGACTCTGAACTGCAGACGAGCTTCAAGCCTGCGTTCGCCTTAACTGTTTCGCTACACACATAGCAACCTGCGTTGCTTTCGGACTCTAAGGATACTGTGGTGTTTTTTCCATCCAAACCTGGAACCAAAAGAAAAGCTGAAGTGTCTTTACTAGTGGACATGTCTGCTATACCCAGGTTCTTGTCTTTCCCTTGCTGCACTACAACCTTTCCTGGAAGATCAAAGAGTTCTAGCATGACCGATTTGCCTTTAACATCATTTGCTGAAGAGAGTTTTGTGGACAAGTAATTTATAACGAGCCTGAAAGTGGCATGATTAGCCGCATCAGTGCCGGTTTCAGGAAACTTGTCCAGTACAATTGATTCGTTTAAGTTGGCTATGACGAAACTTGAGCTTCCAGACTCTTGAGATAGAGAAACCAAGAAGTTATTGTATGAGGAAGGGATTGGAGTTATCCAGTCAGAAACAGACCTAACAGAGCCGGTCTTAATGTCCCAGTTGCCACTGGTATGAGCCGCTAGCAGATATGGACCATAAAGAATTGCTTGAATCGAAGCATACTCAGGCCGATCATCTGAGTTTTGTTCAAAGGGCTTTGTCAGTTATATATCATTCACAAAACAAAATATTTTGTTCATCGATAGGAATGTACTATAAACTACCTTTAATAGCCTCTGTTCTTAGACTAAAGGGTAGCTGAAGCGTCAAAACGTCACCAGGACTCCATTTTCTTGTGACTGTTAGGAAACTACCTGCAATACGAACACAAAAATAATATCAGTTGATCCTATAGTTTGCACCCAAAATACAAAGGAAAGAGGTTTCTAATGAACATTGAACTGACTCCAACTGCAGAAATAGAGGGGAAACTGTGAGTATATCTCTCACCTGGAGCTGGAACACTCAGAGTTTGACCATTCAATGCTGCTTTTGCACCAGTTGAATCTGTCCAAATTGGAATTCGCAAGTTCAACGTAGATGATATGCCTGTCCCCTGCATCATTTAGATCCAGTATAAAATTCTATGTTAGACTTACAAGGACACGAGACAAAATGACAGTATATATGTTTGTTTTAGTGAATCTATAAACCGAAACATACACATGTTTGTTTATAGACAAGGATGACTCTTTTACAGGTTTCTAAATGAGTGTCAAATATTGGAGGACGTGTTTACGATGTCCTTGAAAGTGTTTCACAAATCCTTATGAAAATAAGAGAGCTGCCAAGCATACCAGAGAAACAGTAGAAACAAAATTGCAACTGAAAGACTAAGCAATAAGATGGCAGAAGGATGAATTGTGAACACCGACTGTGTGATGATGTTAATGACAATGTAATATATACCTCCGCTGAAGAAAATGTTAGCGTGACTCTAAGGTAAGGATCCCTTGAATTGGCAGGATCAACTGTCTGATTAAGCGCAATTTGTCCGGATTTCCAATCAAGAAAGCTTGAGATATACTGGATAATGAAAAGTGCAGGAGCTTCTTTCTCCTCTTCAAAATATATGGAATCTCCTAGCTTTGAGAATGACTCAATTCCTACAAAAGCATCAAGAAGTTAGACATAACTGACAGTTGTTACACAGTACCTATAACAGGAACAAGTCGAGACACAATCTAAATTTTTCTTCCATCAGAACAAATTGAAAATGAGAAGACACATCATCACGATATATAGATCATGACGGTTTCAGAAGAAATCTGTAATGCGGAAAAGACAAAAGGGACAAGGAAATTTAAGAATCCCGCACCAGTGCCATAGCAGCACCAGAAAGAGTCGAACGGTTTTCCCCAACCATGGTAACTTCTGGCCTTGGAAGTTCCACGACCTAGTGGAAGCATGTAAATCATGACTCCAGGCTCTGTCCCTCTTTGGATGCCTAGCACGCCATTTGTCAGAGCTCGCTCATAATAATCCGCATATGCTGTTTCTTTGGTCCATCTAAACAGGTGGCGAGAGACCTACAAAATCATCAAGATGTGCTAAAGGAGCAGCAGAAACAAGGCCTTTATCGTACATAACAGCAAAACTCAATCGATAATGATGAACTCATGCACTACACTAAATTATTGACAATACACTAAATTATAACTGCTATGTGTAATATATAAGGTACCCCAGCACCGGTTCTAGCTCTATGAAGTGAAATATATTTAAATGTAAATCAATCAATCAATCAACTTTCGCATAACTCATAAAAATCCATCAGCCTTGAGAACGGTTACAACTGGCATACCTTCAGCATGTTATAAGTTGTGCACGACTCCTCGTTCTCTGTTTTTAGAGTGCTTGCCAACCTTTTAGGGTCGGACCTGCTCACAAGTTGAGGAAAGCAAATCCAAACAATTCAGGACCCATGTTAAGACTTTATAACTACTTATCCTCACAGTAGTACTAGGATTCAGGCAAAAGGAAGAGCTTATTATGAATGAGCTGAAAATGAAACATTAATATCTGAATTTTAGTACCAGAACTCGCCGACTGATGTCCCTCCGGTTGCATAGCTATGAGAAGAGTTAACAATGTTCATAAAGAAAGAACTCATTTCCTGAAAATTTCAGATATTTTAATAAATGACAGAATAAACCACCATAATACCAATGGTATAGACACTAAGGAAATAGAAAAGATGGTAAAAAGAATAAAAATTAAAAATTAAAAACGCAAGTGCAATGCTGTTTTATAAGAAGAGAAGTAACATACACAAAATTTGAATGGTGTGCAAGGGGGGGAAAGCCGATTTGTTGAGGTCAAACATAAACCTTAGAAAGGATCTTAGGTTTTGTTGAATCATAGTTCAGATAGTCTGTAAGATGAATAGATCATTTACCTTATAAAGTGGATCACCAGTGACTTCATATCGCATTTGAGCACCGATAACAATTGGGATATGTGTGTTAGCATGAAAACCAGATATGTCCTCAGCCTACAAATATCAAAACTACTTTGATGAGAGGGATTCTAAAAGAAAAGGTTCAGAGAAGAAAGAAATTTAGCTGTCATAGCTGGTGTTTACCAACAGAAAGAGAGAGGAATACAAATATGCAAGAAACCTAGGGTCTCGCTAGACATACTGAACCGAAAATAATGGTTACCTGCACTGCCAACACTCCCAGAAAGCATGGTTTGTCGAAAAGATGAGCCAACAATAAATGCTTTGCATCTCCCTGAGCATAGTAACAAGAAAGGTCAATGTCACAACTCTAGTGCTCAAAATACTGTAAGTCTATAAAGTAGTTCATATCAATGGAAACCTGAGTTATGATACGGTTGCCATCAAAATAGTAAATTCCATGAAACTTCCACATGGGCTTTTTCCTAATGTTTAGAAAGGGGCATATGACATACATAAGCAGTGTAATCTCCCAGATAGCATATTTTCAAAGAAAGGTCCTTGTATATATGAATGGTAGTTCCTACTAATGCTAATTTCAACTAGGTCAAAGACACAATTAACTGTCTGCACATAGAATGAACGATCTGAAAGAAGTGCCAAGAGTACTTTACAAGAAATCTTACGCACCGTAATAGCATATAGCTTATAGAGAACATCATTCATCCCCCCAGTTTCTTCGTTAAGTGCCGTATAATGCCTTTCTACACTGTACTTCGATATCACATTCTGAACACGGTTGTAAAAGTACTCAACCATCCACGTCACCATTTTCAATGCTTGAGCATTATCAGCAAATGTATACTGATCCAATAGGCCTGCCAATATCTGTCAAAGTAGATAAGTCAGAAAAGCTAATGACGCGTCCCTTCGAATCAAAACGAAGTAATGGCAATAGGTAACAAACGAAGTAGATTCTACCTTGTGAATGGTGTAATAAGGAGCCCAGACAGGCTTAACAGCTTCAAATCGATCAAATTCTTCAGATGGAAAAGCAGAAAGATATCCACTGCCAATTTTCTTCTGACAAAGAGATAGATTGTCCACTATTGCAGACATTTTATCTTTGAGGGTCTGGTTATGAGTGCTAGCCCACATTTGTGCTGTTGCACTCAAGTAATGCCCTTCAAAATACAAAAGCAAGCCGTTCTTTATACAGATCCACACAACCCGAATTTTCAAAAATTAAAATAGCAATTAAAAGCAACATCATTGCTGAATTTCAGTTATATATCAGAGACAAAGGCAGTAGAATGTGGAGGCAGGGAATGCATCTATAGTATATCATTCATTCCCAAAAAAATCGGAACAATGTGCAAGTGTTCTCCAAACTAAAATCGAGGTACAAACAGTCACATCGTATAGACTATAAGAAGACAATATCAATGAAGAAATGTATTAACATGCGAGAAACAGAGAAATTACACTAAAGCTATGATTATGTTGACAGAGAAAACAAAGGGAATGAGTTAACAAACAAGACTAACCAACGAAATGTCCCCGAAGCTCACAAGTCGGGTCCTCCCACCCCTTGTATGGTGTTCCGGGGGTTGACAAACCCGCTGTCTGACGAAAGCTCCAAATTAAACTATCTGAATCCAACATCAATAAGTACTCCAAATTTGTTTGCTGTGCCCTTCCATGTTGTGAAGTTGGATGCAACCTCACATCATGCAATGGCACTTCCTTAAGAAAATCTCCGGATGCCTCAAAACCACCCAAAGCTTTCATTTTCCGGTACATCATTCCCCATTCAATTTCATCTTCATCCCTCAGTAACTTTCTTGGGAGCAAATCCATCCACGCCGAATCATCGGTAGGTATCAAGTGGTAGTGTGAGAACATCTCCTCCTTGAGTGTTTCATTGTGGGAAGATAAGAGATCATACCGGTAAGTATGCGATGAAAGCTGAGTAGGACTGTTTGTACATTCCTTCCCCACAGCAAAACCACATAGCAGAAAGACTACAAACACAGCTAACAAATCGAAAAACACAAAACCCTTCATTTTCTTCAAAACCCCAGATTAAAATTTCCCAAATGTGATTATATATAACCACCAAAAAACCCCCAGCAAACAGTCAAAATTCAGTCAACTTCACATACAACAGCCAATTATCAAAAGGTTCAAACTTTACCAAAACCCAACAATTAAAACCTCAGAAAGTCACAAATCAATCAAAAGATTCAATTTTTAACAAAAACCCAACAAAGAAAAACCTCTGAAAGTCACAAAATTCAATAAGATAAGAGCACAAAGCACCAGAAAACAGGCACTTTGAGCTCAAAATCCAATTAAAAAAATTCAAAGCATCTGTTTTTCGCAAAACCCAGAAACAACTTTCTCCAAAGTCAAAGAACAATTGTATAATCTATAAGAGAGAGAGAGAGAGAGAGCAAAAAAGATAAGAATAGAAGCACATGTGGGAGTGAGAAAGTGAGAGTGAGAGAGTGGTTAATCTTCTATATATACAAACACAGAAAGTAGATAGAGTGAAGCTTGAGTCCAAGATTACAAGCTATACCCAAAACCACCCCGCGTGAAAGCAAAGAAATGGTCATTCTTTGGGTCAATAGTTCTACAGATTCTATATATATTTACTATATCTATCCATCTATACATACACAGTTACACAGACGTATACAGAGAGGGAAGTGAGGTGAAGATCACGGATACGGTGTCGTGTTTTGAGGCAGGTTTGACCGAGCGAAGGGTTGGGGGTTGAGGGCCATCTGAAATATCTCGGAAGAGAAGATGAAAGACGCACAAGAAAACGGCACCACAGCAACCCCCACTTTTGAAGTTTTGGGATCTCCTATTATTCCTAACAAATGGCCTTCTTTTCGCTCCTTTTTCAACTGAAATTTCAACCGTTTACTTCATTTTTCTCTTATTTATTTTACTCATTATTTAGTGGATATAAGAAATTTTCGACGCTCCTCTGAATTTTTATTTCAGTTAATTATTTTCCGTGTCGTTAGATTACTTAAAATTGTATAAGAATTTCATCCACATATTTATAATATGAACCGCATGAGAGGATAAAAACTTCATTTTATCACACTCAGATAATTCACAATTACGCATGAGAGGATAAAATATTTTTTGGTTTTTTTTTTTTTTTTTGGTAACATGGAAGAAAAAGAGAAAAAAACGCAGAAGAACAATTAATCTAGCTTTAGCGACTACACATTAGTCATCGGAAAAAGTTTGAACTAAACAGGGAGGAGGCTCCGCAAACTCTAGAAAATCCATCTCCTATTGAAACCCAACTTGGCTAACTCGTCAGCTGCAAAATTATGCTCTCTATGAACATGTTGCAAATTGCAACTCCAGTTCTCTATGATCAAACTTTTGCACTTCGAGACAAGACCATAAAGAGGATGATTAAGGTTAGAAGAACCATGAATGATAGAGACCACCAAAGCATAATCAACCTCCACAATAAGATGAGAGAAATTTCTAACTTTAGCTTCAACGGGTAAAACAAAGCCTAAAACTCAACATGGAGACCTTCTCCAACTCCTACTTTAACAATAAAACCAGTAATTCAATTACCGTGCTAGTCTCTATTTAATTCTCCACTTCCATTGGTTCTTTTCTTTCTGGGAAAGGTTGTGGACTTTTTGCTTTACAACAAAATAGCTTTGATTAGTTTTCATATATCACTAAGATAACCTCCAAGAATTCATATTGGCGGTATCTTTGCATCGTACAGCTGTCTTGACCTCCAAGAATTGATGTCTACTCACTTCCAAGGAATTTTTCTTCCAATTGTTACATCACATGATTAAAATCTTAGGTAATTACAATTTGTAATTCTCTCTTTTATTCCTCTAGCTAGTAAATGTTGCATAGTCCTTAAAACATACGAACAAAATTTGAAGAAAATGTTTGGTTTTTCTCATGTTACAACAAAACTAAAAGTTTCATAACGTACGTAGTAACTTGTAATATTTTATCTTAAATTATGAATAAATGTATATTGTTCGACGTTAATTGTTATTTCAGCTTAAAATTTTATTCAACATGTTTACATCTTAACCTCATAAAATAAAATTCTGAATCTGTCAGTACTGCCGACTGAAGGAATTTTTCGATGCGAACAAATGATTACATCAGGTATTGCGCACTGCCCAAGAAGTAAAATCACAGTGAGGTGAGCTCAAAGTCATGCACTTTCTTTTTTTTTCTTTTTTTGGCTCTGCTACATGTTGTTGTGGTGGGACATATATGCAGCATGCAGTACCAACTTCGTTGTCTTTTGATTTTTTTTCTTATCTGCTAACAAGTTGCAAAATAATCGATCTGCCCCCTAAAAAGAGTTAGATCGACTCTATCTAGTAGTATTTGTTTTCATTTGGATAAACAAGTTCTTAAGTTTGACTTATATAGATGTTAAGAATAATATATATTTATAATGAGTTCAATACAAAGTTATACATTTATATATGTATAGATGTATCCATCTTATTTTATTTCTCTCCAAATGCGATATTGTAAGAAGAAAGATGAACATAAGACATCAGGTACGGAAATAAATTAACGTTCTTAATTACTTGAGCAACAAATTCCTTGCACATTCTTATCCAAATAGTTGTAACCTATATATATATATATATATATATATATATATAGAGAGAGAAGAGAGAGAGAGAGATGTATTGTTGCTGTCGTTTGTACTTAGCATTGCTTGCAAGGCTGTTGAGGATCCTGAAAGTTCAGAAGTGGTTGGTTTATGTTGCTTTCAAACAAACTAATTTGCATTTTCTGACTCCATGTGGAGGTTGGGATCATTCATTACTCAGAGGGAAAGATAAGGGTGTGAGCAAAAATCTCTACCTTTCTAAGACAAAATGAAGAACAAACAATTAGGAAGTTCAATAAAATTCATTCGTGGACCTACAAAATTAGTCATTGTGCAGTTGGAGAACTTTTTTAATATGCCAGAAACACGGTTAGGTATATCAAATATCATAATACAAGTAGTTATGAATTTTGTTTCAAGTATTCAACCACTTGTATTATGATACTTTGTGTATCAGATCGTATTATCAGCATATTGAAAAATCTCTCGTGTACTTGAATGAGGATGGCAACAATGACAACATAGGAGCAAGTATTAGAAAATGATTCATGGCTTAAAATTATGAAAGAGATTATGACGTGGCGAAAGCCACAAGATGGGAGGAAATCATCGGTAAACCCTAGAAATAATAGGGATGGAAAACTCTCCAGCTTAAATAACTCTAGTTTATGCTACTTAGTATTACAGTCTAATGATATTCCTCTTCATTTGTAATTAAAAGGTCTTAGGTTCGATTCTCGTCAAAAATGAATTTGAACTACATTATTGCTATCCCGTTTGTTCAAAATAACGCTAGCTTGAAAAATAAGTAAAGCAAAAGATTACAAAAGTACTTGTAAATTCATATTAAATCGCAAGTGTGACATAGTAAATGACATTAAAACGAAAAAAAAAATGCCCTCAAATCATGAACAAATAGCGTGATTTGTTTCTCTCATTGTTCTACTTGAAACAGCGTATTATAGGCTTCAATCGACCATCGGGGTAACTTAAGAAAACCCAATATGTTTTTTTGCCGGTTTACACCTACGGAGTTGCGACATGATCTGATTCGTTAACTATTCTACATCAGACTATTGCATTGATGCTCAGACGCTACTTTCTAGGAAGAGTGCAAGGGTTGTAATTCCATCAAAATCAAGTGACTTAGATAAAAGTTAAAGTTTCAACTACATCAAAAACGATAAAGTTGATACAAACCAAGCAGAACATTACAAGTTAAAGTTTCAACTACATCAAAAACAATAAAGTTAATACAAACCAAGCAGGACATTAAAATGATTATTCAGCCTAATGACAAGGTGTCTAGTTTGTCCACCGTCATTTGGTACCATTTAGCGTGTGAGGTCAAATTAAGCATGTTGTAAGCCCTCGGATTAATAAGGCACCCCACTTATTATAAGTGCGTAGCAAATCACCAAGTGCAATAAAAATCGCGCACAGAGAGAGAGAGAGAGAGAGAGAGAGAGAGAGAGAGAGAGAGAGAGAGAGATTCTGTGAAAGACTCCAAGTTTCATTTCTCATACAATGTCAAAACTGGAAAACTAGTACAACAACTAAAAGGCTGTAGAAATTAGAACTAGCAAAGTGCAAGTGAAATTTGAAGCTAGTTACATGATCCACACAGCATTCCTGCAACCATCTGTATTAACATTCCACCAACCGGTACGAGGAAATTTTCAACTCAGGAGAACCTCTTCCTTGGTGGGAGTACATCCGGAACTCGAGGAGCAGAGGGAGGAACAAACCGAATATCCTGCAGACGATCTGGAGATAGAGCTTGACAAGCAGAGTTTTGAAGGGGGCTGATAGCAGACCAGAATCAGTTGAAAACAATATACCCTTACAACTAGAAGCGGAAGTGAAAAAATTTCAGATTCTTAACATCAAAATCCAAAACGTGATATGTAATTCCGAGGCGGTAACAGAACTTTAATCTCTCCTCCTGCGCTTCTCATGTCTTTCGTCCCTCTTGCTTTCACTCCTACGCTTCTTGCGTCTTTTGTCCCTATCACTTTCAGAAGAGCTTGATGATTCTGATTCAGACTCAGAACTAGATCCTGAATCTGATGAACCAGAGCTCCCAGATTCTTCTTCATCTGATTCTGAGTCAGACACTTGTTTTTGTTGTTCCATAATGAGTCGTGGCATATGCTTCAAGTACTCGCGCAGGTTCTCGGTGATGCCACCAAGCCCAATGGATGTGAAAAAATTAATGGCAAAGCGGGTGTTCTTGGGATTATCCTTTGGGAAGATAGAATCATAAGACTCCTGCATTGCAGGATCTGTGAGCCGCTCATTTAGCAAACGGATACCAAGATGCTCCGACAATTCCTGCACACCAGAAACAATAGAAAATCATAACTGTATACAATATGCAAGCCAACATTCTCTAAGAAATAATCTTCAGACAGGTTAAATACATCACAACTTAAGAAATTACCACAGAAACAGGCGTCAATTTGTAGGTAATGATATTTCAAACATTAAGTTTCAGAAAATAAACACAAACATGGGCCTAAGTCTCACCTCATGGTATTCAAAACAACGTTTACATGGACAAGGATTTATTCAGAGGCAGAGGTCACTAATGATTGTTGGCAAACCTCAACCTATCAGATATATATGTGATTCAAACCTATTATTAACTAAGCCACATTATGCATTTTTATCTCATGATCTTTTCGCCTTCTTTTTCTCAATCAGACTTATCATTGCCAGTCAGTTAAAATGATTTGGAAATAAAATAATTATTTCAGAGGTAGAAGTAAACTAATAATTGTCAACATTGTAACAAGCAATAGGCTTCAGAAAACCAAACAGAAATGTAGAAATATAACATTTCTCTTTTGTTACCTGGAAAAGGATCTTGATAAAAATACGAGAAGAAGAAGTAGTATCCTCTTCAGTCAATCGTATATAGGCCAACACATGCCAAGGAAGGGCGTCTGTGCCGAGTAAATGGGCGAAAAACTTTGCAACATTCCGTAGCTTATTTGTTTCAAGCCGGTGGATCATGGAATACTGTTGCACAAAGCATTTCTCAAAATTTTCCTGGTGGACTTTGTTGATCATGCAGAACCTTTGGCCCAAAAGACCATAATATCGGAGGTAGGTTCTTTCTTGACTGCAACATTCCAAAAGCATGACACACAGTTCCATCTGTAAAAGGTCAAATCAAGACGTTATTACTTTTTATGAGAAATCAAGGTCAAATAAAACAGATTATCATTCTTGAACT